GCCGCCCCCTGCCTCCCCACCATGGCCGCCTCGCCCATGGCCCTCGTCCACCTCGCCTTCCTCCATGTGCCGCCGCTGGGTGCCTCGCTCGCGCCACCGCCGCTGGGTGCCTCGCTCGCGCCGCCGTTGGGTGCCTCGCTCCTCGCTCGTGCCGCCGCCGCGCTAGGTTTAGGTCTCGGGGAGGAGAAGGGGAATCGGGGGCAGAAGGGGGGGTTCGTTTTTCTTTTTTTAGCGTGCTATAAAGAAGGGGTAAAACGACTTTTCCTGTCATAGTTGACGATGTTAACGGCAAAAATCGACGGAAGTGTCATGAAAGGAAGAAAATAAAGTTAGGGTGTCAAAAAAGGAAAAAATAAATTTTTAGGGCCAAAAAGGGAACCAAAATTTAAGAAAGGGCCAAATAAGGAATCCTCGTAGCAATTTTCAAAGGTAAAAGTGATAAGTATGGAGTGTCGAACCCACAAGGAGCTAAAGGTAAGATCAATATTCTCTCAAGTCCTATCTTCCACTGATACGACTCTACATACACCGAACGTTTGCTTCCATCTAGAAATGAGAAATAAAACTATGTTACGGGTATGAAGAGGGTAACTTTGCATGATATAGGAGAACTAAAATATAAAAGTAGGTGTTGTTAAAATAAAGTTAGAATACATTACTATATATTATAAATAGCGAGTGTGGAATAATGATGGATAGGTGTGCGAAAATAGTCATAGGCAATTGTTAACAAGATCGGTAATCATTATTGCAATTTCATATGAGGGAGAGGCATAAGCTAACATACTTTCTCTTCTTGGATCATATGCACTTATGATTGGAACTCTAGCAAACATCCGCAACTACAAAAGATCATTAAGGTAAAACCCAACCATATCATTAAAGTATCAAGTCCCCTTTATCCCATACGCAACAACCCCTTACTCGGGTTTAAGCTTTTGTCACTCTAGCAACCCACTATAAGCGAATCATGAATGTATTGCAACACCCTACAACAGGAATCCTTCACGTGTGCGCGGCACGGAAGGCACCATAGGACAGAACCAAAATAAAACATACAACTCAAACCAATCTATACCATCAATCAACCCAAAGGACAAAAGAAATCTACTCAAAACATCATAGAATGGCAACACATCATTGGGTCATAATATGTGGCATAAAGCGCCATGTTCAAGTAGGGGATTACAACGGGGTGCGGGAGAGTGGACCGCGTAAAAAAGATGAGGATGGTGATGTTGATGAAGACGATCACCGCGGCGATGGTTCCCCCGGTGGCACTCCGGTGCCACCGGGAAAGAGGGGGAGAGAGTCCCCCCCCCCCTTGTGCTTCCTCCTCCATGGCCTCCCCCTAGATGGGGAGAAGTTCTCCTTCTAGTCCTTGGCCTCCATGGTGATGATGGCCCCCTCCGGGATCCTCCTCCATGGCCTTCGGTGATGATGGCCCCCTCCGGTAGGGTGCTAGAGAGGGCCTAGATTGGTTTTTCGTGACTACAGAGGCTTACGGCGGCGGAACTCCTGATCTAACTTTATTTATGAGGTTTTGGGATTTATAGGAGGTTTTGGGATTTATAGGAGGTGTTGGCGTCGGGGACAAGTCAAGGGGGCCCACGAGGCGACGACAAGGCAGGGGGCGCGCCCTAGGGAGGTGCGGGCGCCCTCCACCTTTGTGGTTACCCAGGACTCATCTCTGGTATCTTTTCGCTCCAGTATTTTTTTATATTTTCCAAAAATATTCTCCGTAAATTTTTAGCCCATTCCGAGAACTTTTATTTTTGCACAAAAAAATGACACCACGGTAGTTCTGCTGAAAACAACGTCAGTCCGAGTTAGTTCTAATCAAATCATACCAAAACCATATAAAATTGTTATAAACATGGCATGAATACTTCATAAATTATAGATACGTCGGAGACGTATCAACTAGCACCCGTAAAATTTCGTCCAATTTCGAGAATTTTTATTTCTACACAAAAAAGCAACAAGATAGTTATGCTGAAAACATTGTCAATACAAAATAGTTACATTCAAATCATACAAATTATAGGCCAAAATAAAAGCAACGTGTTTGAAAAAAGTAGATACATTAAAGATGTATCAGTGTTAATGACCCCGGACAGACCCCAGGAATGCCCATGTCTCCGGGCACCCGGACTGCTCAAAAGGCATGGGGCTTCTCTGGTGCCTCCGGGCACCCGGACCTCTACAGGTGGTCACAAAGAGTCTTCAAAAACAATCTTCCAAGAGTGGAAACTTTGGAGAAAATATTATATGGACTTTGATTGAGTTTCCCGACTTCTTAATATTCGCAACACCTCTCAATAGTACAGATGGCCTACAATTGAAGAACACCGTCAATCTCAGTCGTACGAAGATGCTCATAGGGGTAAGGTGTGCGTGCATGCGTTCATAGAAATGAGTGTATATGCATATGTACGAGCGTTTGCGTATGTACTGTGTTAAAAAGACATTCTAAAATTTCCCGCAAAAAGAAAGACATTCTAAAATTAAATTGGACGGAAAAATAAACGCCCCGGCCATCGAATTGCTCTTTTCGTCGCTAGAGAAACAAATATACCTGGCCATGGATAGCCCGGCCCGATCGGCCCAACCCGACCCGGCCCGGCCCGACCTTGTCCATGGGCCGGACTCGGGCCTAGGTTTTGAGCCCGAAGCCCGAGCCAGGCCAGGTCTGGGCCCGTCGATTTCGCCATTTAAGAAAGAGGCCCGACCCGTGGCCCGAGGCTCGACGGGCTTTTAATGTGATGGGTCGGGCTCAGGCCCGATTTTTAGGCCCGACGGCCAAGCCGGGCTGGGCTCGAGCCTGGGTTTTTTGCGTCGGCCTTTGGTTGGCCCGGCCCGGACCGAGGAATGGCCAGGTATAGAAACAAACAACCCAAACCAGCAGCGTGCAAACCACGGGCCTCTCCGACTATTCCGTGGGCAGCATTCGCGACATGGTCGGCTCAGAATGTCGACATGGACGAATATCCTTGGCCCACAAGCCCCCCGACCGCGCGTGCTCGCCACCCGATTGGCCGGCGGAGCGTCGCGGGTATAAACGCTGGTGCGCGTCGCCTGAGCCGCACGCCGCCGCGCACTGTCTCTTTCCAACGCACCCGAGCAGTCAACTGAACGGCAGCCAACCAAGCGTCCCAGCCGGTCACCGGGAGGCTTCGCCGCGTGGGTGGGCGTCCCGGGAGCAGCAGGAACGATGCAGTCGCTGCAGGACAAGGCGTCGGAGTGGAGCGGCGTGGCGGCCGCCGACGCCTTCGCCATCGACGAGGTCAACGTCTTCGAGGCGCTCGGCGGCACCCCGCAGCCCTTCGTCGACCTCTCCACCAACTTCTACACCAGGTCCGCCCCGATCTGCTCCTCCCGCCTCCTCTGATCTGGGTTTCCCCCCTTCTCTGATTCTGTCGTCTGACCTCCTGGCCGTGGTTGAATCGGCGGAGCAGGGTTTATGAGGACGAGGAGGAGTGGTTCCGGGAGATATTCTCGGGTTCCAAGAAGGAGGACGCGATCCAGAACCAGTACGAGTTCTTGGTTCAGCGGATGGGCGGCCCGCCGCTATTCTCCCAGAGGAGAGGTAACTTGATCTTATTGGCGTCTTTGTAACTTGATCTTATTGGCGTCTTTGTTCCTTGTAGCCTGGAAATATCCCTGTTTCCACTTGCCCAGTTGCCTGCCACTGAAGACAGTGCTTATGCTGAATCATATGAACTTCCTATCAATATTTTGAGTTGAAATGCTTACTTGTTGCCTAATAGCTTGAAACGATCGGTATTTAAATTCTGAAATTGACTTAGAAGTTCATTCTTGAACCTAAACTTTTAGGAAAGACAGGCAGTTTGTAGAATTGTGGAAATCAGCTCTTGTTTATTTACAAATAGATGACCCAACTTTGTACTAAAGTTAGTATAAAGTTGAGTCATCTATTTTGGAACGGAGGGAGTACATTTCAGGTCAACCTTCTGCAGAACCATTAAGCGTTTCTTGATAACAACATCCTACTACTATTGTTCTCATTGGATTTTTCTGTTCTTTCCCCCTAGTTATCAGGCAGTGCTGTTGCCTGATAATGCAGGGGACTACGTGCAGATGATTTACTGCTTTGTTCGTCTGTCAGTTAACTGCTTGCTGCATCTACCGTTTATCTGATGTGAATGGATTAGAATTACACTTGGTTATGTCAGGAGACTGCTTTTCTTTTTCTTAAATGGATTAGAATTACACGATTGACTATATTATTGCCAAAGGGTGCTGGAAAGACTCCGACAGGGAATTGCATTTGAGCAAACCACGAAAGCAACAAAAAATATATATTGAGAGCTAGGAGTAGAGTCTGAGAGGAAGAATTATGTAGCACTTATGGCACGTCATCTGCCCTGGAGACCAAGGTTCCTAAGCAGGTGGTGCCCTCCGGAACCCAGAGATGAGCTTCATATTTAGTGCGAGTCAGTCAAAAGATCACACACTGAATTTCTCTGGCACTGAAAGGTTCCCCTAGATGGCTCCTTCCAAACTTCCCAAATCACCAAAATGATCATCTGGGTTTATCGGTGGCATACTTTGTCATATCTTTATCTAGCAACAATACTTTATTAATATCATAAGTTGCATACTTGCAGTTCCCAGTCAAGACATACTATGTTTTCTAGTACTTGTGTAATGAGTAGTTACTAGGTCGAATGAGTTCCATTTCACCATTTCCTGTTTGAACACCTATATCTATATCTATATGCTTCTAACACAAAAATGTTTGAAAACCCAATATTTGTCCTGTTGTTCTGTGCCACTTACTTGCCCATCAATTTCTTGAACCTTTTTGGGTGTGGTCAAAGTCATGCTATTTATTATTACTAGGTGTTCCACGTTTTATACCTTTGTCATAATTTGTGTCATCTTGTAATCATGGAAATTAATAGCAACACGAACCGTCGACGTTACCAAACACTTGCAATTCATATTTTTTCTGATCCTAATTACTTGCTGACCTAACACTATCACTCTCTCTGATTCTCATAGGACATCCTGCCCTGATAGGACGACATCGACCATTCCCAGTTACCCACCGAGCTGCGGAGCGATGGCTGCATCACATGCAGCAAGCTCTGGAGACGACAGAAAGCATAAACCCAGATACAAAACCCAAAATGATGAATTTTTTCAGGTCTGTGTTATGACTGAACTAGTGAAATCTGCATCAAGCATTTGGCAGCATATCAACCAAGAGGCTAAGATATTGTCATTTGTTATCTGGTTCCAGGCACACTGCATACTTCCTTGTCGCCGGTAATGAGATGACAAGGCAAACGCAAAGTGTACCTCCCTGCAAGCATGCAACGAGCAAACCAGCCGAGTAACCGCTCAAACTTAACCGGTTGAATAACGATTTCAGCTCCCGTGTTCCTAATAGGATTCCCATGTTCAATGGGATCAAGCTTATTTATGCATTATGCATTATAGGGAACGACACGCCTGATGTTCTATGGGCAGCAACACTTGAGCAGAGAGCATCTCAAAATTGATAAATTGCTTACTTGAAATGGTTGTACTTCCTCTTCTCTCTGGGTTTGTGTTTGAGGGCACAAGTTCCTATGCTGTATAGGTGCTGAACTGCTCGTGCTATTCTATCCAATGCTCTTATCAGTTAAGCATGGCATTTCAACCCAGCTTATTAATTTTCCTTGAAAGATAAACACAACTTGTTACACTTATTAAACAGTAGAATTTCAACTGTGGTTTCTGCCAGAAATTGCTTTTGGATCCCGGGCTCCATGGAGCCTGGATTTTTGGAGAAAAAAAACAAACAAAAACCATGTCTTTAAAGTTTCAAAATTCTGAAAAAATTTGCACATGAACCTAGGGTTGTATTCTAGATCTCTGTAAATCTTCATGATTAAAATTGTTGTGGTTCAAGCTGCACAAAAACAAAAATCATGTCTTTCTAGCACATACACTTTTTTCACTATAAAAGTTCATGATTTTGGGTTTTTATACAGCTCACACCAGTATTTTATCATGAAACTTTACAGAATGTAGTATACATATCAATGCCCATGTGCATTTCTTCAGATTTGTTTTGAAACTTTTAAATATGATTTTCGAATTTTTCAAAAACAGGGCTCCATGGAGCTTGGGAGCAAGATATCCACTCTCGGTTTCTGCTGGCTTCTTCTCTTGATTTTTATAGAAGTAAACCTACATGTTCGTGGTGTTGAGAGAATTTGCCATCCAATTTATTTTACACTGTAAATTATTTTGTCAAGGATTTCTGGAAGGGAACATTAAACCCGTTAAGTGTCGGGAGAACGGCGGGCAACCATGTGCCATGTGGCGCAAACTGGTTGGCCGCGGTGAGAAAGCTTTTAAAATATATATTTTAGATGGAGGTGAAGATTCTTTTTGAAATGTTTTTTTTCCTTTTTAGATGGAGGTAAGGACCCCATGTATTTTTTTAAATGGAGGGCTATGTAAAGTGGCGCTCGCCGGTAATGCTGTGGTGGTAATTTTTTTCTTTATTCTTTTTTACTTTTTTTTTAGATGAAGGTGAAGATTTTTTCTGAGATGTTTTTGATGAAGGCGAGGATCCTTTGTATTTTATTAAATAAGAATTTGTGCACAACTTCCTCTTAAGCAGTGACCACTAGTGACATGGAAGGGGCGTGGTATAAGCACAAGGAAGGTACTTGGATCGATTGGGATTGGGACGCATACAGTTGCAGGCATGTATGTGCCCACCTTGTTGCCTAGAGTAAAATAGCACGAGGCAGCCTTGTAGACCGAGTCCAGACTGCAAACACATAAACAATTGCACTTACTACACTATCCATCTTTATCAGTAGTATAATTCGGAACCAAACTTTCACGTTCACACACCCATTCGTATATGGGGGCAAGACTCGCAGTTTTATTTGCAGTAATAAACGGGAGTTTATTCATACGACCGGATATCACACTCCCGGCTGGTTCAGTAAGGTTGTTGTAGCAACTTGTGCTGCTATGATCATGGTCGCCCAATCCCTCCATCGTACGGCGGAGGGGCTCCAGGGCCGGCCGCCGTACGGTAGGCCACGCTGTCCGCATGGTCTGCCTCCGCATATAGGGCGGCGGCTAGGGTCGAGAGCATCGGCTGGAAGGAAAACACGAGTGTCCATAAAGATTCATCAGGTACATATAATTACTCGATTTCAGGACACTGCAGAAGAGTAGTATAACTGAAGGAGAAGACGACGACAACGAGGATGAAATGAGCAGTTTGGATGGAAGCACTCACGACCGATCCCGACTTCGTGGCAGACGGAGCCGCTCATGATCACCGCGGACACGACGAACAGCGCGATCTGCAGGAGCACCATGAAACGGCCAGCTCTGGCCAAGGACGCCATCGTAATGTGACTGGGTTGTACTTCCTTCATTTCAAAATAAGTGACTCAACTTTCTAATAACTTTAGTAGGGACTATACTGTAATTAGTTAGATGATTGAAGCTGTGTTTGTTTGTAGATGCTGCTGGCCGAAGGCTGCTATTTATAGATGTCGATCGACCCCTCCCATGACAAAGAGGAAGATTGCCTTGGCCCATTAATTTCCTTATATTTTCTCAGGCATATTCGAGCTCGAGAGATCAAGCTTGGTGGCGGCAGCTGCCAGTGCGCTGGTGTGATTTTCCGGCAAGGATAATCGCACTACTTTTGGTTTTGGTGGGCACACAGACGGTGAATCGATTTGCTCAAATTTCTCGGTTTAGTCAAGGCTGGTGAGTGGTGAGTGATGACAACCTGGCCGTGCACGACCGGCACAGAGAACCGACGACTCGACTCTCGGGTCGTCTTGCAGTCTTGCCACGAAGGAAAAGCTATAAGTAGGGTTTCACTCGCCTCGCGTTTGACCCGCTGTACTCAGGGCATTTTCAAACGTTTGACCCACAAATTTGCCCTGCCATCTATCCACGGACATTGATGCTGAAGGCCGCCAATCAATAGTGTCTGCATACATTTCAAACCACATTTAACTCAACCGAACGAAATTCATGCAAACCGTCTGATACTCATTAAAATTTGGATAGAAAATAGCACAAATCATTCATACGGAGCATGCAAATAAGTCTAGTATAACAATGTCTTAAATTTAGCGAGATTAATCAGATGTCCAACAAGTTTTTCATCAATGGGCCATGTCGTCCCACACATACCGTTCCTTCAGTTTCGTCCAACAACGTGTGAACATAAATGGCCGTCCCTTCTATCCCGTGGTACATCATGCAACGCGTGTGGGCTACATAATGTGTAGACCAATATTGGGTGAATCTATACCTACTAATAAAGTAAAGTGTGTTTCTTCAATTTTTTCATCCGTTCATCAATATTAAAATTTTCTAAGATTTGTTCTATCCGATATGGTAATAATTTTTTGTTTGCTAGAACAAAAATAATTTCGCAGGAGACAGCTGGGCCGAAACTGGTCCTGTGCTCATTTTTTCGAGCTGGGCCGCGGTGGTACTAATCCACTTTGTGGCTTTGTCAACCACGTGGGCCAAACTGGGCCTGATCCGCACTTCTTTTAAAGAGCGTCAATTGGAGTAGTAGCAAAAATATGTCTTGTGAGGGTCCGAACTCATGACCAGGCCATCCGTTGAAAGGCTTCAGCCAACTGAGCTACTATGCCTGTGTTGCCAAAAAGGGTTTGATAATGTTTAAATAGTCCCACCTCGCTTATTTCCATTCAATCACATCAATTTATATACGTTGGCAACTTTTACAGGAATCAAGGAGCAATATTGATAATCAACAAATGGGGGGTTGACAATAAACGAAAGGCATCATAGACTTTATGGATGGTCAGTCCTATTAAATTTAAATGGAAGGAGGAAGAATAGGAAGAAAGATCACGTGATGAAGGAAGAGACTCTCTATATATATGGTGGGCTGATTAAAGGAATTCACTGAGACATAATGATGGTAATTAAGGGGGGAAGAGAAATAGGAAGGCCGCGTTGATGGGGGAGACATGATCGGCTGATTAATGGGGCTAATTAAGGAGGGGAGGAAGAGGACTAGGAAGACCAAGAGGGTGCTTGGATACAAGGGAGTTCCAAGCACCCCTGACTAAAGAGAGGCTAGGACTAGTCTTGAGGCTAAAATCTTTTAATCATGGGAAACCTACTAAAATATGTATTAGCTCTCTCTCTCCTCATTTAATTCCTCTCCTTAGTTCTGGATTGGAGGGTTTGGAGGATAATAAATGCTCAATAACTAGATTTTAGTCTTTTTAGTATTTGGATCCAAGCATGGGTGAGACTAGCAAGTTTTAGTCCCACTACTTTTAATCATGGGACTAAAACGTATCCAAGCATGCTCCAAAAAACAGGAAGACCACCTTGACACGGAAGGACATGCCGCGATCAATAATGAAGTGGAAAAAAGCCCTAAAAACCCTTAGAAGTCGCTAATAAAAAAATATGTTTTTGTCTTCATGCAAAAATTGCTACAAGTAATGCTAACTTCGAAAACCACTATGTTCAAAATAAATAAATTCAAGCACCAAAAAACAGGAAGACCACCTTGACATGGAAGGACATGCCGCGATCAATAATGAAGTGGAAAAAAGCCCTAAAAACCCTTAAAAGTCGCTAATAAAAAAAATATGTTTTTGTCTTCATGCAAAAATTGCTACAAGTAATGCTAACTTCGAAAACCACTATGTTCAAAATAAATAAATTCAAGCACCACTATTACCTGCCCTTAAACCACAAATATTGTGGCAAAAGTACCAACTGTCCAAGGAGGAGAGAGCCACACCTCCTTATATACTGGTTGGCTAATTAACCTTCAATAGGGAGAGCTAATTAAAAGGATTCTTGCGACATGGATATACATAATTAAAGGAGGTACACATATGATGCTCATTTAAACGGGATAATAAAATTCCTTGATCGGGCATACGTGATTTTGTTTTTGCATCTTGATCAGTTCTCTTGAATCAACGAAGCTACGTATACATTGAATTGGACTTTAACTGGCTAGCCCTCATTTCGGTGTTCACTCATTAGTAAAGCACGGCTGAAATGTCAAACAATGGATACATTAATTACACTTTTTACAAAGATGGTTTACTTGAAAGAACAACAATTCTTCATGTTAGTTATGTGGGTCATAAATAAAATCATCACTTATATTTTAGGTCATACATTTGTTTAAGAGAAATCATAATTATTGGATTACGACTGCTGGAGTGTGATAATTTTTTCTCCCGTTGCAACGCACGGGCCATTTTCCTAGTGAATAATTAAATAAGTTGAGCAAGAAGAAGCAAAACTTATGATCTCCTTCTCTGCCGCATGTAATGGCCATCTTGCCTCCAGC